TACAGGGATGAGCCACCATGTCTGATTTCTTCTTCTTCTTCTTATTATTATTATTATAAAATTTGCATCAAACATTTTTTATGTATTATTTGGACTTATATCAAGAGTTGACATACTTTTACATGGTTTAAATTATTATTTACACTTTCAAAATTTTTTAAACATTTCTTTGATTAAAAGCCAGTGAATTTTAAATCATATATAGGATAGTGCATAGTTCATAGTCAGAGGTCCCAGGTTATAAGAAACCATTTAGTATCTTATGGTCAGATCTAAGCATTTTTCCCCAATCTAATAATTTTTCTTACATATCTTGTGAAAAATTATAGTGTGAATTGATATGACTAACTGTACTTCCTACAGTGAGAAATAACTATCTTAATGCTAAGAACAGTTTCTAAAATTTTCAGTCATTGATTACATTGAAAGCATTAGACAAATGTTTTCTGGGCTCCACTAATAGATTAACACAGTCCATGTTTTGGGAAAGCACACTCAGAGGCTCAATATTGGAAAAGTTGACGATTACAAGGAGAAAAGAAAAAAAAATCCGATCAGTTCTGTTTATTTCCATCCACTTTCTGCTATGGAATAAATGATGCAGTATTCTGAAATATCACTTTTGGTAGAATTAAATTCAAAGCAATTTCATTTCCACTGTCTCTGATGGGGTCTTCCAACTAAGTGCGCACTTTCAGCATTAGAGTTCATGATTTTCAGTATCTAAGTTATTAATTCAGTGGTCCCTGTGTCTGGAAGTGAGTATCTATATAAGTATTTTGGAGAAATAGAAAAGAAAAATCAAATATCTATATGCATCTTTGTAGTCAAGTTCAAATAACTTTTGGTAAGAACATGGATCTCAACCACCAAGCCTGCAATTACATAACACATGACTGAAGAGAATGTAGTATTGAGAGCTGAAACTGAGCCACTCCCAAGGTCTAGAGTAACAATGATTACAAAACCAAATATTATTTTCATAAAGAAAATGTAAAATGAATCGCAGCATGGCTAACTGTAAAATAATTCCTTGTTGTTTTACTTTTTAATTTTCATGATTTTGTGCCTTTAGTACTTTTAAAACAATTTTTAAAAACTTACTTTACTTGAAGTACAAAGTTTCCTAAGGAGACTTTTGCGACAAAAATAAAGATCAGTATTATGGCACGTTTTTATGCATAATGCAAAACTTTCAACAATCGTGCTTTTGTGTAAGAAATATTGTTTCTTTCAATTTGAGGAAATACCAACTTAACGTTGCTGGAAACAACCTCAACAGTCAAACGCAATTTTCTTTACTTTTGTATCTAATGGCATTCATTTTCTAAGCAGGTACATGTTTTACATCTTAAATTCTATCTGCTTTTGAGAAATATATATTCAGGAATTTTGAGAGGCTATCTTTTTTTAGCAATTTATGTTTCTTTGTATAACAAGGTAAGCTGTATTACACCCATATCTGTTAAATGTGTTATGTGGAACCTAACCTCAGACTTCAAATAGGAACTCTAAAGGAATTATACAGAATGAACTCTGTTAGCATGTAACCCTATGTTGAGTGATGTTACCAAGTTACTGTCTCTACAATACCCAACTCTTTCATTAGGAAGCTCATAAAAAACACTGATAAAAATGTCACCACGAGATCAGGAGTCATGATGTTCAGACGCCTTGGGCCCTGCCTCTCTGCTTTCTGGGCCCCTACAAATGCCTGAACCTGCCCAGGCTTCTCTACTCCTCCCTCTTAGGACCCTTCGCAGTCCTCTGACTCCTATTTACAGTAGTTCCCTCTACCTGTGGTCCCACTTTCCATAGTTTCTGTAACCTGAGGTATGGTACAGTAAGATTTGAGAGCAAGAAACAAATTCACATTACAGTATGTTGTTGTAATTGTTCTATTTTACTATTATCATTGTTAAGTTCTTCCTGTGCCTAATTTATAAATCCAACTTTATTATAGGTATGTGTGTATTGGAGAAAACAGAATATATACACTTCCAGACTATTTCTGGTTTCAGGCATCCACTGGGATCTTGGAGTATATCCCCGGTGGATAAGGGAGTCCTGCTGTATTGCAAGTGTTTCTCTTTTTTTTGAGTTGGTGTCTCACTCGGTCACCCAGACTGCAGTGCAGTGGCCACTCCCGGCCACCGCAGTCTCGACCTGCTGGGCTCCGCCGATTCTTCTGCCTCAGCCTTCCAAGTAGCCGGAATTACAGGCATGCGCTACCATGCCTGGCTGATTTTTTGATTTATTGTAGAAATGAGGTCTCGCTGCCCAGGCGGGTCTCGAACCCGCGGGCTCAGGCAATCCACTCACCTCAGCCCCCCAAAGGCGCGGGATTACAGACTTAGCTACCGAGCCCAGTGGCAAGTGTTTTTCTAAGACGTATTTTATTACTTTTCACAAACCAATAGAAAAAACATAAATATGAAAATAAAATGCACAATAAAAACAAAATACACAAATAAAATAGAAAACAAAATGTAAAATTAATTCTAATTGATTCATTAATACTTGCTGTTTGCTAAATCACTGATATAATGTATGTGTGTATGTGTGTGTGTGTGTGTGTGTGTGTGTGTGTGTGTGTATTTCAGAAATGGGAACTCATTGTTTCCTAGGCTGGAGTGCACTGGCTAATCATAATCATAAGCATAATCATAGCACAATGCAGCCTTGAACCAGGCTCAAGCGATCCTCCTACTCAGCCTCTCAAGCAGCTGGTACTATAGGCACATGCCACCACACCCAGCTCACAATGGCATACTTTAAAACCGCAAAGTACCTTAAATTTTAAATTATTTTGGCTTTTTGAAGGTTATAAAGTGACTAAATTCTTATATGTATACAATCTAAAATTATTTACAGGCTATTCTCTTATCAGCTTTCCGTGCTATGTATAATGTGTGACCAGCTATTACATATAAAATTCTAGACAAATTTGTGATATTTGGAACAACTCTAATTCTTAAAAATTCTAGAAGCTTGATGACTTCTTGACAAATAAGAAATGAGACAAATAATACAGACTACCTTCTTTAAAATCTACATTCTATAACACAGATCAAGAAAATTTTAACTATATAATTAAATATTCTAGCATGATTTTTATCACTAGTTTAAGCACAGAGTTTTCAGAAAGGCTACTCAGATACTGTTGTATCTGGGGAATCATCATCATCATTATAATCATCCACATTTTTTACTCATTTTATACTGTCTGGGTTTTACATTGTAATAATCTAAGTTGCGGTGAATTAATACACTCACCTTTGTACACAAAGTCAAAGGAAATGCCAAGAATGATTTTAGGTTACTATTTTCCAATCGAAAATATGAATAATCCTTCAGGAAAAATACTGATAAATTGTGCTATCTAAATTGCACTTTACAGATGGGTATGAAGTCTGATAGTAATATTAAAAAATTCAGTGAAATGCATATTACATGCAATCACAGTAGTAACAATCATTTTAAAAAACTTCATCACCTGATTGCTACTCTCTTACAAAAAAATTAATTTAAATTTAGATATGCAAAAAAGGAGTGTGAGTATAGAAGATAACTTCTGTACTACCATTTCATATAGACTGTTTATCATATTCTGAGTTATTAAATTTTTTAATTAAAGTAATGGATATACATTTATCTTATAATTTTGGATGTTTCCTTCTTAATGTGTGTAAACTGCACAGTGCTGACAGCAGTGGAGCCTGAAACACAAGGTGATTCTGTCCCTGCAAATCAGGAAAAATGTACAAGTCCCTGGGGCTTCTTTAAATTAAATAAATTCAATGCTTATTTAACTTTTATAATCTTTAGCAACCACTGGAAAATTTAGATGTTAGGCTAATATTAAAGTAAACATCAAACCAAAAATGGTTAATTTTGTAATGTACTTATAAGTTAAAATCTGGTTACAATGATATTTTTGTGGGTGCTAGAAATTATTTAAATGATGCTTTGAACATAAATCTCAGGCCACAAAATGCTTCTTTGTGACAAAAGACCATGATGGGTATGATCTCCAATCTGAGTTTTTTACTTGTGTTCTGACTTTTCCCTAGAAATCTATTTCTTAATCATTTACCAGGTTTGTGCATTTGATTTTTAAGTAACACAATACAATTCAAGCTATACTGAAACTCTATCTTTGAAATATTTACAAAGGAAAGAAAACAGTCAATGCCACAGTTATATCTCCATTATTTACAACAATGTATTCACACGGGGCACAGTTTATTTCAAATTATATTTCCTGAATTAATCTTTAATAGAAAAATTAACATACCCCTTTAGAAGGTAGCAGAACACTTGATTTTTAAGTGTATTAACTTATTTAATCCACTGAAATATAGTTTGTGCAATGGAAAAAAGTAATTTACTCATCGCACTTGAAAGGCATGAATGGGTTAATATATCTCCAGAAAGTAAGCAATTAGCTTCCCCGCCACACACACACCCCAACAAGATGGGAACCCTTATTTTCAATGGTAGCCTTCCCCTGTTCTCCCAGGTGAAGTCCTGGGACAAGTGTCATTTTCCCACACTCGCCACAGCATCTTCACATCCATAGATGTTACACAGTGGCTGTTTAGTACCCCCTAATGGCTATGACATCGGCTCATCTATTTGTTGTTTTAGCAACTCTTGATCGGTTCACTCGACCAGCTACCCTTCCATACATAGCCTGTTCTAAAACTAAAAAGAGATGATATAATTGGAAATAATCTGTAACCTCCAATAACTCGCTTCTGACTTGGAGCTCCTTTATGAGCATCTCCTGACAATCAAGAGAAAGGGAAGGTATAAAAACAAAATGAAAAACAATCTATGATGAACAAGATAAAAGCTAGCAAGCAATAACATGGTAAAACTGCTTTCTTCAATTCCATTGAAATGCAATATAAATAATTTGTGAGCTGTAGGAATAAAAATAATTCTCTCTGAGGGAGAATCATGATGTATTAACAGGAAGGCTTTAGCGGACTCACCATCCCGTCGATTAAGACTTGCGAACCCAGGGCCGTGGCTGCGGGACAGCTCTGAGGAGCTGCTGAAGGATGAACGTGGCAAGGCTGAGGCCAGCGGCGCATCACAGTTACCTGCAGAGAAAAGCATCACGCTCAAGTTCCCAGGCTGATCAACGTGGCGCTTTCTTCTCTTCCCTCTTTCTCTCCTTTCTTTTTAGTTATCAGGTAAGGAAAATGCTAGACTTGTAGTTCATCAGTCTTGATCAGAGGTATGCTAATAAATGTTTAACAACAGGCTCCTAAGGGAAATAAAAGTCCTGATTTGTAGCTTTGCCATTGTCTATAGTGTAAATACTCCTATCATGGCCAATTCAAAGCTATCAAGATGATGTCATTGAGCATAGTGCTGGAAAAAGATATGCAGTATCACACCACTATATAGTAATGCACCATGCAGATACAAGGTACGTAAATAACCTAAGGAGCACAGATATGAGATGTCATAAAGTAAGTAGTAAATGGTGAGTTTTGAGAGTTGATTACTTTTGTTTTTCATGTGATTTGTTTAGTTAAAAGTTTACATACTTTAATTTTTAATAATGGCTGTTTTAACAGCTGGTTTACAAATTTTAAGGGAAGTTAATGATTGGCTCTTGCTTGCTGCTAAAAATGGGTTTCAGCACACTCAATGGGGAAATATTAGTGGTAGTTCCTCTAAGATCAAGAAGACTTTAGCAGGCATCACTGCTTTGTGAACATTGCATTGAAAGTCCTATCTGTACATAGGAGAAAATGAAAGAAAGAAAGAAAGAAAGAAAGAAAGAAAGAAAGAAAGAAAGGAAGGAAGGAAGGAAGGAAGGAAGGATGGAAGGAAGGAAGGAAGGAAGGAAGGAAGGAAAGAAGGAAAGAAAGAAGGAAAGAAAGAAGGAAAGAAAGAAAGAAAGAAGGAAAGAAAGAAAGAAAGAAGGAAAGAAAGAAAGAAAGAAGGAAAGAAAGAAAGAAGGAAAGAAAGAAAGAAGGAAGGAAAGAAAGAAAGAAGGAAAGAAAGAAAGAAGGAAGGAAGGAAGGAAGGAAGGAAGGAAGGAAGGAAGGAACCAGAAGAACTGGATGAAAACAAAAAACAATTGCTATCATTTCCATATGATGTGACTGGGTGGTATAAAATCCAAAAGTAATTGACTAGTGCTAGTTCAACATACAAAAATATTGTAAAAACATTGTATTTCTAAACTCTATTCTTAGAAAATAAAAACAACAGCAAACAGAAACAAAACACAAAATATCTACGAGTGAATTTTATAAAATTGTATAAGATATTTATAATTATTAAAATTGTATTGAAAGATATTAAAAAGGAACTACATAAATACAGACTCTAAGAATCACAAATAGAAAGCTCAGTAGTCCTTAATTTGATCTTAAGATTCATTAAAAGCACAAGAGGAAATTTTAATAGAACTTGAAGAATTGCTTCACATAGCTCAGAGGCTCTTAAAATGGGGTGCAAACATCATAAAAGGGTCTGTATAAGCCGGGCTCGGTGGCTCAGCCTATAATCCCGCACCTTTAGGAGGCTGAGGTGAGTGGATTGCCTTAGCCCGCGGGTTCGAGACCCGCCTGGGCAGGCGAGACCTCATCTCTACAATAAAATAAAATAAAAAATTAACCGGGCGTGGTAGCGCATGCCTGTAATTCCGGCTACTCAGAAGGCTGAGGCGGAAGGATGGCCTGAGCCCAGCAGGTCGAGGCTGCGGTGGCCGGGAGCGGCCACTGCACTCCAGTCTGGGCGACAGAGTGAGACTCCAACTCAAAAAAAAAAAAAGAGGTCTGTATAATGAATTTTTAAATTGTGTTTCTATTTTCATTAACCTTTAACTAAAAACTCAACATTTTCTTTAGTCTTGAATGTAGACAAACCCTACCAATGTCAGCAGTGCCAATGTACTTGTTACCAATACAAATTACAGATATATTCATACCAATCACTGCTGTGGCTTGAGAAAGTGTCAGACTCAAAATGAAATCGCTAATATTAGGAAAATCCTAACAAATAGAGGACAGAGCGTTCTCACCCTTGAATGCCTGATAATGAAAAAGGCCCTAAGCAGTGGCTCAGCCTGTAATCCCGTGCCTTTGGGAGGCTGAGGTGAGTGGATTGCCTGAGCCCGCGGGTTCGAGACCCGTCTGGGCAACTTGGCGAGACCTCATCTCTATAATAAATCAAAAATCAGCCGGGTGTGGTAGCGCGCACCTGTAGTTCCAGCTACTTGGAAGGATGAGGCGGAAGGATCGCCGGAGCCCAGCAGGTCGAGGTTGCGGTGGCCGGAAGCAGCCACTGCACTCCAGTCTGGGTGACAGAGGGAGACTCCAACTCAAAAAAAAAAAAAAAACCCATAACTTTTGCACAAAAGTCATCACAACCTTACACAAAAAATCAACAACTACCTGTCCAACTTTGGACTAACATAACCCTTGTTATAAATATTGGCATAAATGTCCTAAAAATTGCAAAAGTTAATCTACCATGCTATCAGTAATTATTTTGATTTTTATGTTCCATATTTTAAAGCTGTATTTGTATGAATATGTTATATGAATATTCTGAAGAGTAGACGGGGAAAAAAGATTATATAAAATGTATAAAAGTCTAAGGGCCCTAATAAGATTTTTTCAGGTCATAATTCATGTTTTTATCTTAAAATGCTGCATATAATAGTTATAACTAAATTTCCTTGCCAATTGGAAAATTTCATCAGATTTTAACCATGGCTATTGTAAGTTTTTGTCATCTGCAGTTACTGTTTTAAGTTCTTCTTTAAAAGCACTTGCAATCAGCTCTAGTCCAACATTGCTTTTCGTGGAAAAGATTCTAGCAAGCACTCGTAAGTAGAGATTTCTGATAACTTTAAAATAAATGAACTTGATAGTGGGGAAGATGGCGGCTGAGCCAGTCAGACTATGTGAGTCCCTGTGTTAGTGAGTGAGTGTATGGAAAATTTTGTGTACATGCTGGTGAGCGAGTGGGTATGTGAGTAGCTGACTGAGTGAGGGCTAGGGAGCTAGTGGCCAGGGCTCTCCTGGTGCAGCAGCTGGGCCTGGACCCTAGCAATTCCCGGGACACAGAAGCGGAGTGCCATTGTTTTTTAAAAAACAGACAGAAGTTTTCCTTTGAAAAAGCATTGGGGAGAAACTATCCCCCCAGGCCCTCCCTCACCATTGAAGCAGGAGAGAGACTGCTGGCTCCTGGCTTTGCCTCACCACATCAGCACCTGGAAGGGCTCTGCAGGGGCTGCATGTGGAGGGAGTACAGAGGCAAGTTCCCACTGAAAAGGACAAAAAAGGCTCCCCACCACCATCTTGAAGTTGGGGCAGGAAAGTGCTCCAATTTGTTCCCAAGGAGCAACAGACCCATTCTCTGTGACTGGTGTATCAACTACTCAGGGACTGATCATGGCCCAGAGGGAATATTCTGAGATCAGAAGGACCTGACAAGTGCTAAGTTCCAGGCACCCCATCCCCCACCCTGATCCAGCTGTGGGACAAAGGGTGTGACCAGAAAAGGATGAGGAAATACTCCAAAGAGATCAGTGGTGAGTCTGGGGTTGACGCAAACCCTCTCTTGCCCAGCAATCCTCTGAACGTCAGAACCACACAGCTGGGCCACAACTGAGAGGAACAAACCCAGGTGGAGCCTGGATGTCAGTTACAATAGGAGAACTCCATTCCAGGATAGGCCTGCCTGGGGTACCCCCACTGAGAGTACATACCTGGGGAAGAGACAATTCCATACCTCCCCATGGGAGAAGATCTCCCTGACTATACAAGAGTGGGAGGGGAGGACTGCATCCTCATCCACCTCCACTGCCCCTCCTCCTTCCCTGCTTTGTTCCCTGAGGAAAGTGAGAGAAGGGGCTCTGCAGGAGAGACGTGATTACAGGAATAATTACAGAGCCTGCAACAAGAGGGCAGGTTTTTTTTTTGTTTGGTTTTTTAAATATTCAATTATTTTTTAATTTTTAAAAATTTTTGGACAGTTAGTTCATTTTTTTTTTTTTTTGAGTTGGAGTCTCACTCTGTCGCCCAGACTGGAGTGCAGTGGCCGCTCCCAGCCACCACAGCCTCGACCTGCTGGGCTCCAGTGATCCTTCCGCCTCAGCCTTCTGAATAGCCGGAATTACAGGCGTGTGCTACCATGCCCGGCTAATTTTTTGATTTATTGTAGAGATGAGGCCTCACCTGCCCAGGCGGGTCTCGAACCTGCAGGCTCAGGCAATCCACTCACCTCAGCCTCCCAAAGGCACGGAATTACAGGCTGAGCCACTGAGCCTGGCCTAGTTCATCTATTTTTTAAATTATTTTTCCTTTGTGCATGAAGGTATATGTGAGGGTTTGATCTGCATTCCCCCCCCAATTTTTTCTTTTCTTTTTCTGTTTCTTTCTTCTTTTACTTGTCATTTTCTGTTTATGTGTGTATGTGAATGATTGAGTGTTCATCTTTTGATTTTGTTGATGTTGTTGGTTTTTGCTCTTTTTTTCTTCAGGGTTTTTTTATATTCACTGTTTATAGTTTAAGGCATGTGTCAATATATGTATGAGGGTTTGACCTGAGTCTCTTTTTTGTTATTATTATTTTTCTCCAGTCTTTGTGTTTTTCTTTTCTATTCATTTTGTGCCAAGCATGTGTGTGTATGTTTAGGTTTCTTGGTTTTTGTTGTTCTTGTTTGTTTTGTTTGGCATTGTTGTTATTCCAGATTGTTTTGGGGTGTGTGTATGTGTTCAATTGCTTTTGCACTGGTTTCTAATTCGCACTGTCATATAGAGTGATGGTGGGAAGTGGGTCTCAGGGACCACACACCACAATAAGTGAACATTTTAATTTGCAAGTAGTTTCTGATTCCTAGCGCCCCATCTCCTAATTTATTCAAATTTCAAAAACTACAAGAGACAGCAAAGCTTCCCATCCACTGTTCCAGTTCAAAATAGAACAAATACAGAGCCTAAATCAGGGAAGAACAGAGGACTGAGCAAAATCAGAAGGGAAAGCCTCTCCCACTGACATTGAATAATAGAACTAAAGAGGAAAACAAGAGATCTGTCACAAATGAGGAAAAACCAAAGGAAAGCCTCAGGCAATTTCAAGTGTGCCAA